CCGCGGCTTGCTTCCCCTGAGGGGAGCGGAGGGGACCCGGGCCTGACGAGAGGCCATTCCCCCGCCCCTGCGGTCTACGAACGGCTCTAGTTACCGGCGAGCAGGGACTTTACCGAACCCCAGGGGACCGCCGCTGCCGCCGCCGTGTCGCCTCGATCCGCCGGGGCCACCGCTCAGGCCGTCCCCTCCCCCGCTGCCAGCCTCAAAGATGGCGCCTAACATACGGGCAACCCTCAGCTCGCCCGCTGCCAAGATGGCGGGCGGAACGGCTTCACCAGGGCCCACTTCCGCCCGTTGGAACCGGCGGGGGCGGGGCTCCGCGCGGGAGCAGTGGACGGGCGGCACCGCCCACCGGAGCGACAGAAGCGGGGCGGGCGGGGCCCGTAAACAAAGCGGGCGGGCGGTTTTTCTGCCCTTTCCTCTTCCGAGGGGCCCCGCCAGCGCCTCTAACCCCAGGCAAAGCCCTTCGCTGTGGGGCGAACAGGAGAGTGCCCCCTTCCCGTCCACCTCCGCCCCGGCTGCGGTGCCCCACGCCCACCTTCCCGTCAGGGTGTGCGTCCCTGCCCGCCATGGTGCCAGGCCTCAGCCCCTGAGGTGGCCGTCCCCTCCCTCATGCTGCCGGGCGCTGCCTCAGGGTTACACTTCCCAAGCTGGAAGCTACGTTTTCAACACGGTTTCCCGGGCTGGCAGCCACTTGCCCTGGGGCCTCGGTACACCTCAGGCCATGCTGCGCCCCAGGGAGGGAGGCCTGGGCCTGGCTGGGGTGTTTCGGGTAGCAGCCGTTCCTCTTGTCAGGGCAGCATGGGCCTGCTGAGATTTCATGGCAGATCATAGACCTAAACCTGCCTCCCTCCGCTTTTCCCCTCTCCGTCCCAGGGTGCTGGTGTCCTGCTTCCCCTGGTTTGGCCCTGCGGCAGCGGCAAAGAGCCACCTTGTCAGCAGGAGCAGCGTCCATCCTGGGGGAGAGGGTGCCTGGGCCAGCCCCGTGGCTGCACAGCCATGCACAGCCATTTCCCCCATTAAATGACTGAAAGTCCTGTGATTTGTTTCTTTCTTTGCATCCAGCCTGGGCTAGGTTTAAAAAAAGAAGCAATTGTGGCTGTTCTGTTGAATTAAGAGCTGGAGGACGCTGTGAGCAGAGATACCTCCCCAAGAAAGCAGGCAAGAGGGTGACACTGCACAGTGTGCCCCGTTCATATCACTTGTCATCAGCTCCAAGGGTCAGACACTCAGCTGAGCAAGTTTTAGATTGAACTTTCTCACTTGACAGCCTCGCCCAGCTTGATCTCATCACGGCTTGGCTCTGGGGTTATTAAAGACACAGGGAAGCAACAGCCTCCCCACCGAAGCCAGGGAGTTAAAACAGCTCCAGCGCACCGAAGCCAGGGACTTAAACAGCTCCAGCGCAATCAACCTGCTTGGGAATGAGAGTATTTCAGAGGCCAGTTGCTTTTATTTCCCGTTGTCCTCATCTGGGCAAAGTGCCTCTATGGAGGCAAAATAATCTCAGTAGAGAGGCAGGACGCAGCTCAAAGCCAGTCCCCGGGAGATGGAGATCACAACCTCCACCATGCATCACCTTAGAGGCACTGCAGACATGGCATCAGGGAAGGGGACAAGGGAGGACCTTTGCTCGACACGTAGCCCAGGAGCACTGGTTTGGATGGCATTTGACAGCCAATTCTGGACTTTGCTCGGAGAGGGAAGAAGCCATGCTTGAGACAAAGTGCTGGGCGCAACCAGCCAGCCCCTGCCTCTCAATAGCGAGGCTTACACAGAGAGAAAACCCACGCTAAGGGGTGCTTTTGTAGTGGTGGGGTTGCTTTTGACCCCCATCCCTCTATCCACCCCACAGGCCCCACTTCCACGCTCCGGCTTGCTCCGACGGGAAGCCCAGCCGCTCATCCAGCGCTAGGAGAAGATGCGGGATTGATTTCACAAGCTGGTGGACAACACTGAGGACGTCACAGTTACATGTGGGCACATTTTATTCTCTGGATGCACTTGCGTATTGTTTCTGCTCAACAGCCAAAGCTTTATTGATTCAAAACCATTACCCTTCTCCCCCATCCCCAGCACGCTTTATTTTTTTGCTATGTACCCCCTTCCCCACCCCTCAACCACTTGTCCGCTTCGAGTATTATCTCTGCTTGGAGTCTGTTTTCTCAGAAGAAGCCAACTGACAATTCATTCAAAATTTTTTTCTCCCAAGAACCATATAAATTACATGCAAAACATTGTACATAGAGATTAATATCAAAATGCAATACAGATCAGGTGCACTTTAAGCTGGACTCTAGGATATGGCAAACACACCAGGGTACATATTGCTTTGAAACCACCATTTTTTTTAATGTCATGCATACCACATAATATTCAGTCTTTTGTTTTGTATTTTTCTGTTTTTATACAAAAATACCAGTGCTTATTATACTTAGTTACTGGAAAAGAAAAACTCAGATCTGCCTGCCCTCTTCAAAAGAAAGTTTTGTTGCGAGAGCATTGGATAAATATATATACACACACAAATGTTGGTTTAATACTGTATATATATATATATTTATTTAAGGGGAGGAAATAAACTAAAGGCAGTTTTAGCCATGGGCTTTGCTGAATGAAAATTGTATTTTTTGTTGAGCAGGAGGATATCAGAGGCAGGACAGCCAGACATCAGCCTTGGCAAGAGAGATGCTGGAGCGGAACAGCCAGGTGCCAATAACCACCCCGGCGTTGCCCCACAGCCTCGCTGTTTGGGGCAGGACCAGGAGAGCAGTACCCCCCCGTCGCCGTGCCCCGCCGGGGAGAGCTGGGTTTGCAGGAGGGCGTTTTACGGGTTGCATGCTTCACGGGTTGATGAACTTGTAGGAGCTGGACCCAGCGGTGAGGAGCAACAGCAGGCAGGTACATGTGTCCTTCCCCCGAGAAGTACAAAAGCCTGCAGGGACTCTTCTTTGAGGTGCTTGGTCCCTGCAGTCATGGAGGGCAACAGCAGTTGGCAATGGCACCTTGGAGATGCCCTCCCTGGACCTGGGCTGGGGCTTTTCCATTCACCCCAACATCATGTCACCCCAAGAAGCATTTCTAAAGGGGCTGAGCACTACAGGACATCTACTCCTCGGCTGGGGAAAGCCAAAGGCTGCCCATGCTAAAATTTGGTTTAGTTTTTTTTTCCCTTCTTGAGATTGTTTCAAAATTTTCCTCAAAGCTTATTGCACAAAACCTCTGAAAATTAAGTATAACCCCTGTGCAAATCAAAGGAAACCTTATCACATAATGCAAATGCCTAAAAATGCTTGTTCAGCAATGCACACAGGACGTGGTGTAATGTCTTTGGTACCAATCTGCCAATTTATTTAACAGAAAACCACCACCACCACCACCAAAAAAAAAAAAAAAAAAAAAAAAAAAAAAGTCATTGTTTTAAAATACTAACAAAACCAGTAAGATTGTCTGTACTTTGATGGCAAAAAAATATTCTTTATAGATGGTATTCATGTATTCTTCAGATCAGGTCCTTCAGAGCATAGGGATTCAGGAACTAGCTTGGTCCCACACCATTTCAGAAATTTACCAGTGAAAACTTAAAGAGCTGAAACATTTACGGTCTTATGGCTGTTAAAGGGGCCAACGCTCCCAAATTCTATCTAAGCCCCTTTATGGATTTTGTCCTTTATCACTCTGGTGTTAGGATATAACCCCCTAAATCACTTTTCAAAATGTTACTCTAGTATTTCCTTATGAAATCTTCTCATGAACAAAAATATTTTCAAATATATTGTAACAAGTAAATTCATGACCTAGAACCTGAATATAAGGGTCTGTGAGTGAATGCAGAACAGCTCCAAATTAGAGTTCAGTCTTTGAGTGAATGCAGAACAGCTGCAAATTAGAATTCAAAATGAATAAGATAGCCACATCATATTAAGAACTGGATGCAAAATTATGTTCAGAGTGTTTTAATAACAAAGCATTCCAAGGCAAGTTAACACGTATCACAGGGTATGATTCGGTTCCTGTCTGGCATGGCACTCTCCCCCGTGCACACTCCTGGCAGTTCAAACAAAAAAAAAAAAAGAAAAAAAAAGAAAAAAAAAAAGAAAATCTCCCCCTCTTTCAAGGCATGTCGCAGAGAGTCCCCAGAAGTTCGTGCCGCCGACCATGCCTTTCAGCGTAGAGCACCAATCTCCCCCAACTCTTTTGTAATGTCCTCAATAACTTAACCCAATAGTCATCTGCTGCCAGTATATCACTGAAACTAAATAGGAAAAAAAAAAAAAACCACTTTACAGAAAAGATGTATGCACAATAAACGTTTATACTTTAAGCAACCAGCCATACCAACATAATTTATATAAAAAAAAAAAACCATTTGTGTCATCCAACTAACGTCTAGTATAAAGATGGCTGCTCAGAGAAAAGGAAGCTGACTGGCATCCGATCGCTGATACACTGAATTAATTACCTGTCACTTGGAACTGCCGTCACACAGTCACGCGCCGTTGCAGACGCGGGACTCAAGATTTATTTATTTTTTTTTCTTTAAACAAAATACATATGGCTGACGTAAAAATATCAGTTTCTGATCTAAAGAAAAC